TATATATACTTATATATATATATATATATATATATATATATATATATATATATATATAGGATTTTATATATCAATCGTGAGACCATGGGACCAGAATAAGTATTGATAATTCGTAGCGGTGATAATTTTTACAATTGAGATAATATTATGCTTCATCGCTTGGCTAATTTTTATTCTTTACCTTGCATGGTTATATGTGTAAATATTGCGTCTTAATTATTCAAAGTTTAAGACATTAAAGCTTACGATTACCATTTCAAGCAGATAGAGAATGTTAGATTAGCAGTAACAATGTAGCGTGAAGAAAATAATAAATCTTCTGGCGCATATATTACTGTCATACATTACATTACATTAGCTAGCTTCATTTCACTGAACTACAATTCCACTGCATCATATTATGTAGTATTCTTTTCCACAAAGAATTACGTTTATATGATTTTTTTTATTGATCTATATAAATTATATTGACTTAAAGAGATAAATAAAATTGTTCATAAAAATACAATACACATATTTAAAATAACTAATTAATTTTATTACATCTCCTTATAATGTTCTTTAATTAAAAGAACATGTGACATATATCATTTTGTATATAGTTTAATAAATATAATTTAAAATTAAGAAATATTGCGTAAATATATAATTGTATAAAAAACATCTTGTGTATCCATAACATTCAAGAATTCTATACTCTTTACATTCTATACTCTTTCTATAGACTTTACACGACTTTTTTTTATAAAGGCTAGTAAATTACATGCCCAGTATATAATTCCGACATATAATAAAACATTCCCGACACGCCCAATGTTCTGCTACGATTTTATTGATTAAAGTAAGAAATAAATTACTAAATATAAATCTAGTTGCGATCGTTTTCCATCATATTTTTATAAAATATCTGTATAATATATTTTTCTTCTTTTTTTATTATATTTATCTCTTTTTGTTTCAAGGTTATTAACCTGCATATTTCGTTGGCTGTATAAAATTACACTTGTGTTAAAATATAACATTATTCTTATTAGCATTTATTAAATGATTACATTGTAAATATTAATAATGGGGTTAATTATATAAAGCTACTTTCATTGATGACGTAATAACAAATGGTCTTTGTTATCGTTGACACATAAAGTAAAATTTATTTATAGTCAATACAAGATAATTTATGAGTTTGTGAACTTGATGATAAAATTGTATTTTATCAAGAAATTATAGAAAAAGAATCCGATTTATTTATGTTTCCGAAATATTTCCGGTATATTTAACAAAACAAAGCGAAAAAAAGAACAATTAAGCGATTTTATTTAAAAACTTAACAAATTAATTTAGAAAAATGATTAGTTTTTTTATTACATAGTTATGATTTCTCTTTTTATAAATTTATTATTATTAATGTTATTATATATTATATAATAACATATATATTATATAAAACATATATATTATTAATAGGAATTAACGTTATATCATTTTTGGAAATATTTTAGCATCTCAAATATTTTATTTTTAATTAATTTTAAGATATACGGGAGTACATCCATGTCATTAGATGTAGATCAACTTTGGCAAAAAATAAATCAAATCGCGTGACACAATCTAAGCAGGATTAGGCGGAACAAGAAGGAAGAATAAAGCAACAGTTGTTAGTTCCATATAATATGGAGGGATGGCGCTGAGAAATCCCAGCCAACCCCTATTCCATTATTGATCCACCCCCGTGCACGTCTTTCGGAAAGCAGCTCACGGTAGCCGCTAGCCGTCGCTCGATGTGCAACACGAGATTTCTCCTTTCTGCCCAATCTTGTTTTGTCGTGATCCTAGCGCAATTAAAATTACGTTTGAAAATATGTAAGCGCGATGACCATGAGTCATAAGGAATAATTATCTACAAATTTTACAATTTGCTTATTAAACTTCTCTAATTATCAAAGATAATCCTACGAGGTTTGCCTCGCAATCTCGCGGATGATGTTCCAAATTTTACTTGAAGTGATGACGTCATTTCGTTCTACATGAGCGATGTCTCTTAAATAGATCGAGGAAACTGTCGCGTCGCGTGCAAGCAGTACGCGAACAAAAGTGTAATTGGGCACCCGTGATAAATGTAATATAGTTATTTCAAGAAGAATTACAGTATCACAATTAGGATTTTATGTAAAATGTATGTATTGTTAAAGATATTTTATTTAATACTGAAAGAGTACAAAGATCAATAGAAATAGCGTTTCAAAACTTATAAATTTCTAAATAAAAATTTTAAGAAAAATCAAAAGCTTTTTTAAAATGTTTGAGAAATAAAGATATTAAGATGTAATGTTCTTAAAGCAATTATGTTGTCTAAGAGCATCCAAAAAGTCGAGTATTATTAATTTCCAAAGAAATCGATAGCGTTAAAAAAACCGAAATTTCTAAAGACTAAATATTTCAAAATCTAAAGGGATATATTTTGTAACGCATAAAAATCTGTTCATCAGAAAACCCGGAGAATGAATAATTTGAAGAATTAAAAAATGCGAGAGGAAAAAGCGCGAAATTGAGGACAATGTTTTTTGTGTTAAAAAAATTGAAATAATTTATGATAGTGAAAATAAAAGCGGAAAGTTGAATGCGGAAACTGAATAAAAATGCTAACAGATCAATCCGATTACACAAGTTGTACGCTGCTATATAATCAAATTTCCATATGATTTTTATTTGAAATTTCGATTTAATTTCAAAATAGATAGTCTGTGATAAGTCAAATAATTTTATTTTGCAATATTTTACAATCACAATGATTGCAAACCAAAAAATTAATGTGGAAATTATCAACTTTTATTTTAATGATATCATTATATCTATTTATTATTTGGTCAATTTTAATCAAGGAATTTGATATATAAAATTATTAATATATAAAGTTCGAAAAATCCAAACGTAAAAGAATAAAATCAAGAATAAAATTGAAACTTAAAATATGTAGATTTTCGTAATACAAATTTCCATTTGGACTTTTTGATTATACAAATTATGATATAATTTGAATTTTAGAAGATATAGACAAAAATAGTTTTATTAATTTATATTAAATCAATTTTTTAGTAAAAACATCGTATAAGATTTTTGGTATAGTGATGCAACATGATCTCGTGATATTTACGTTGCTATATCATCTATTTTTTGTAATATGTCGATTTACAACTATTCATCGGACAGCTTCCAAACTCTTCACAATCTATATCTTTTACGATAAACTTGATAGTAGCCGATTGATCTTTTATGGTTGTATTTTACTGTACAAAAAACTATATCTTTCGTGATAAAATTTGAAATTGCATTTTATTCTACACATACTGCATTTTTTATAAACATTGTAATAGTCAAATATTTATAAAATATTTATTAGCATATAAATTTTAACATGTAGATTTTTATACGTTATAACACAAATAACATATTTTGAATTTAATGTTCTACAGATATATAATATTTAATAAAATTCTTTCTTTCTCGTTATTCTGTTTTTTTTCTTTATAAATTACTCTATAAATTTCCGCATTTATTTTAATGTTTATACTCTCTAAGAAAGAATAAAGTTATGTGATAAAATATACAGGTTTTAAGGAACAATTCTCTCTTAATATTAAAAGAAAAATAATATATAATCATGAGACCTCTATAGGCATTTTTAAAATTTTAATATTCAACAATCTCTCTCTCTCTCTCTCTCTCTCTCTCTCTCTCTCTCTCTCTCTCTCTTGATTCCTTGTCAAGATATATAGTATAGATGAAATTTCTTCTGCATGTGTGTGTATGTGTATGTGTGTATACATCTATAAAAAAATTATAATATTTAAATATATACATTATATACATTTTATTATATATATAATCAAATGTTTTATTATTAACATTTAATTAAAGCTTTGTATGACATTTACACATAAAATGAAGTGATAAAATTTAAACAAATCTGATTTGTTTGATATTTTAAACCTACGTTCTTTTTCCTGAAATGTCAAATTTATATTTTATTTCATATTTCTATTCTATTTTATATTTTTATTGACAAAAATGTCCGATGTACGTCACAGAAAAGCCTTTAAAAGACTTACATTTTCAAAATCCTACATTTTTAAAATGTTTTCTTAGATTTTCTTTAAATTTTAGAGTTCTCGTCAAACTTTCATATACATTATTCAGATACTTTCCTTCCAAGAATCCAGAGAAAGTTTTTATTCATATTCTCAGTCGCGCCTTGAATTTACGAATTGGTCCCTTCCATTTTTTCCAGTTTCCTGATTGTTTTGCGCCAACTTGAGGAAGCACCTGTCGCTCGATTAACTCGGCGGCGATTCAGCGTGACAAGCGCGAGAGTTATATGTCACCCATTAATGACACGTCCGTGTAATGGTGAACGCCGGTTCCAACGGGTGGTGACGATGAAAGCCGACTTTGACGGTCACCACGCACCGTGCGAGAGCGCGTGCGCCAATTATCCCCCCGGTGCAAACTCAGGGGGGTTGTTTAAGGCGCGAATTCTCGGAGGATGGAGAACAGTCGACGGGCCAGCCTCCAGGAGGCACATTCGCAGGACGTCGACCGCGTCGCGCTTTTCCACCAAAAGGTGACTGGAACACGACGTGTCTCAGGCTCGTGATTCAGGACCACTCCTCCTTCACCTTGACCTGCTTGTTCGCTTGGCTGGGCGACACACCTGGTTCAATAACGCAATACGCGGCAACAAAAAAAGGACTTCTTGTTGTTGCACAGATTTCCTGTGTTCCATTGACCGTCTCGAAATTTGACTGGCAACTCAAGTGGCGATCATGAATGGCGCGAAAACGATGTTGATGAATGGAATAACTAATATCGTGAGTGACACAATGGGAGTTCGTGCGACCGTCGAAAATTAAACGAAGGACCTGGCCTTTATTTAGTGATTCCCGTAATTGTGGTCCAGCAGAGACGCAAGAATGTCGCTCGTTGTTATCCTAAAGAACATTCAGGGTCTCAAGTGCAAGGGCGAGAAAGTTGCAAAGATCGACTTTCGAGGTATAACGTTAGCATATAATTCAAACTTTATTAATTAATCGTTGACGTCCGTAAAAATAGAATTTTTAATAAAAGCAATTTTTTCGAGTGAGTTGATTTTTCAAGCACGTGAAATAATCTTCTTAAATGAATTACCATAAAAATTAAAAAGAACAGTTCGTCACGAAGTTTGCACAGTTAATTTTGATAAATTAACTTCTTGTTGTAAGTCTCCATAAATTAACGAAAAATTAGTCAAATTCTTTTTATAAACATTTCCAAATCAATTTATTGTATTATATTACTAATCTTTTCTATCTTTTACTTTTAATATGTTTTTATCCTCGTTTCTTCTTCTTACTATTATTACCATATATGTATAAACGTATAACTTTCTCAGAATAGCAGCATTTTTCTTTTCTAAAATGAAAGGATGACATTATCAAATAAATATAAATTCCTTCCGCGTATAAATTCCTTCCCTCTTCTCATACATATAATTATTTTATACTTGTGTTGTCATTGCTTCTTTATTATCTGAATATTCTCAATATTGTCAACTCATCATGCAAATTCCATAGATTAATGCACGAGACGCGCCTGTCACGTGCTTGGATGCACACCTGCGCGTACACATCCTTTGTTGCATTTAATGTATCCGAGCGATTGATCGCATCGAATTTGCATTCTTGCTATAGGAGAATCATCTATCATTCGACGCTCCGGATAATCTTCCTAATTTTCGGATTAATTGGTTACGATCGCGTGCTGTTATGCGATTTATGATGATTTTCCGATAATCGACAAACATACGTTGATCGAATTTTTTCGGTAATTGGACCGATAATTTAATAACGACGCAATTACACGAATGAGATACACATTTCTCCCTACAATCTTTAAAAATTTTTTCACGTTAAATAATGTAAAAATGAAACGATAACTTTAACGTTTTCTACATTGTAATGTGTGTATAATAGTTAATTTATAAACATTAATTTAAATATATGTATATGTACATTTATTTACATCAAACGATAAATGCACTGTTATTGGAGACAAAACATTTACAATAAGAGTTAATCAGAACAAGAATATAAATAATTATTACGCTTTATTATTTAAATATGTTTCTGATTTGCAAGCCTTTTTTTACATAAAAAAATAGTTTTTAATATCATATCTCTCTTTATTATATATATATATATATATATATATATATATATATAATAATTATTA